CAACACGGACCCAAAAGAAAAGTTTGGCTTTGTTTTATACTTAATTCTATTAGGTTTTATTTTCAAACATACAATCCTGAAGACTAGTGTCTCTGTGCAGACATATTTAACAGCAAGAGACAGAAGCAAGCATTGGTTTCCTTAAGAGATCTCGCTTGGGGTTTCAGGTGACCACAGAAGGCAATCAGGCATTTGACAAGTGGTCTGCCTGACATCCGGGTTTTCTGTCTTCTTAGGTGGTGAGAAACCAGGAGTGTGGTGTCAGCAGGACTTAGAATCTAGGAGAACTCTTGATCTTAAAAATACTAAGCTTTTTTTTTTTTTTTTTTTTTTTTTTTTTTTTTTTTTTTTTTTGTGAGCATGGCATCCCCTGCTAGGGGACAGCCACACTGAGGACGAACTCTAGCCTTCAGAGCACACAAGTGTTCAGAGCAGCCCTCCTCCAGGGCTGGTTTCTCCATAGCCCTAAAGTAGCAAATGTCTTGACCCACTGAGCCATCTCACCAGCCCCACAGCCATGAGAATGTGGTTGTGAGACATGGTTATGGGACTTCTGGTGTTGTCACCACTACAAACAAGGTCTGGTCCTCACCCTCAGGACATACAAAGGGCTGTGGTGTGTTTAACTACGAATAGCAGAGAAGGAAACCACAGAAGTAAGTAAGGCAGCATACTCAGAAGTCTATGGATTTTGTGACAACTCTTAAACACACCTTTGTTTAATGCATTGATTCACTGAACTTTGAAAACAAGAATTACAAGCCACACACCTTGCAATACTAGTAACAGCCTGTTGTAGCTAGGACCTACTCTGAATGTTTTGCAATTAATACTTCTTTTGAAGGGTCTCCCAAACCTCAGAGGGAGATACTATTCTCACCCATTTTACAGTCAGGAAAACTGAAGCAAAAAGAAGGAATTTTCCCAAGGTAAGCTATTGATGTGGAAACACATGTACACAGAATTTTAACGTGCAAGGCAGTGAGAGAGGAATCTCTTTTGTTTATATGACATAGTTCATAATTTGTTTTAAGTAACTACAATAGCTATAAGCATTATCTATTTTGATTTTGATTTTTTGAGAATTTCATGCATGGATACTGTATTTGCATCATTTTGAGCCTGCTCCTTCCCCTCCCCAAACCTATTGAGTCCATTTGGTGTTGCTCCTGTGTACATCACTTAGAGACGACCACTTAGCTACTTAGCTGTATCCTAAGAGGCTCTCTTTATAAATAATAGTTACCGAACACTTGGATCAGAAGCATGTGCCACCTCGGCCCAGCTGTCAAGTACTGTCTTAAGCACCTTAACCAATCACCTAGTTCTATCCTCTTAAAAACTATACCTGGTACTGGGGATTTGGGGGGGGGCAACTGGGGAGATGGCTAGGGAAGTTAAAGTCCTTGTTGCTCTTGCATAAGACCAAGTTAAATTCCCAGCACCAACATGGGGCAGCTCAAGCTACCCATAACTCAAGTACCAGGGATCTGACACCTACTTCAGGACCCCATGGGCACTGCATCGACATGCACATGCATAATTTTAGCAACTCAAATAGAATCTTTTTAGGAACTCTATGAATTGGCACTGACAACATGCCCAACTTACAACTGTGGAAAGGCAAGCAGAGCAAGTCTGAGTAACTTGCTCCAATCACTAGCAATCAGCATCAATCAGTAAGATCCAAACTGAGCATTTTAGCCCAGCGTCCAGCTCCAGCAACCTTACACTCAGCCATCCTGCGGCTGTCTCAGATATTGCTATGATGTTTGCACAGCTTAAAGGAAATAATCTCCCCATGAAAACACACAATCACAGCCATTATCTGTCTCAGTCTTCTTCATTACTGAGCAAAACGCAAAACTAGTCCCCACTAATGAGTGAGGATATCACAACTCTTATGGTGGCCATTTATCCAGTGATCACAGCTCTCTCACTCCTGAAATGCACTGCTTCTTTTCCAATTCACACCCGTGGAGTAGATAACAATGAACTTCGATGTTGGGTTCAAGGGTACATCTGCTTTTGTTATTGTTTTGAGTACAAGGGCATGGTGGGTGGGGGGAAAGGATATTATTTTTCCTCTCAGCTGAGACCTTCATAAATAACTAAAAAGTAATTATGTATGGGCTAGGAGTATAGTCCAGTTGTTGTCTAGCATGCGGGAAGCCCCCAGAAAACTGGGTGTAGTGGTACATACCTGTAACCCCAGCACTCAGGAGGTGGCTGCAGGAGGTCAGAATTTCTTTTTTTTTTAAGATTTTATTTATTATGGGTACAACGTTCTGCTTCCATATATATCTGCACACCAGAAGAAGGCACCAGATCTCATTACAGACGGTTGTGAGCCGCCATGTGGTTGCTGGGAATTGAACTCAGGACCTCAGGAAGAGCATTTGGTGCTCTTAACCTCTGAGCCATCTCTCCAGCCCGAGGATCAGAATTTCAAGCCCTAGGACAGCTTGGTCTGTATGAGACGTTGGAGAGGAGGCAGCAAACAAGCAAAGCATGGGGGGAGGGAAGAGAAGAAAAAGAATGAAAGCTATGTGATTTTAAGCTTCTATGTGGAAATCTCTCCACACATTCTCCATTCAAAACCCTAAGCCATTCAACTTAGTCTGTACCTTCAGGCAAAATGGGGCCTTCCGCCTCTCAGACAGCATGGCAAAGCTGAGGACCACAGCCTGCTTGTTCTGCTCCATCGTGTCTCACTCATGTCACCTGAGCAAACAGATGCGCCCATAGAGCAGCCATTCCTTTCTCTTCTGTCTTTGCTAAAAGAACCCAAGAACACGTGGGTGCAGTGTGCCACCTCATGAGTAGAAGAAGGTGTGCAGTTTCAGCTTCAGCCACAAGCCAAGAAGGCAAGCTTGCTCAACCTCTGGGGACTCAGCGAGCAATGCGTTGGGAGACACAGGATGTGGTACTTCTATATCCTCTCCCATGGCCAATGCATGTCCACACAGAGAAATGACTGACATGGATCTTTATCAGACATACCCTGGCAGTGCTGGAAAACCAAAATGCGAAGGTCTTGAACTTGGAGCCTGTGAGCCTGTTCCTACCAGTAGCTGCTTGAGTGACCTTGAACAAGTCAACTAATTTCTCCAGGCTACATTCATAAGTGAGGGGAGTAGACCAGGGTCTATCATGGTCTATTTGATCCTTACAAAGGGAGACCACCATCAAGAGGAATGGCTCTCCAACCTTAACTGACCCTCAGAATTCAAATCTTTTTTACGGCACACTAACGATGCCCTTGTCCTAAAAACAATAACAAAAGCAAATGTACCCTTGTACCCAGCATCGAAGTTGATTGTCATCTACTCCACAGGTGTACGTTGGAAAAGAAGCAGTACATTTCAGGGGTGAGACGTGACCCACTGGATACATGTACATCTTCCGAGTTGTGATATCTTTACTCATTACATCACCAGAGCTATCTTGGGAAATGTTGCCAGGCTTCCTCCATTCCTACAATCCAGTGCACAGAAGCAGCCACAGGTGGCTCGTTAGGCAATGGCGCCTACTTTTGTCTGCAGCAGGGCTCATTTGTGAATAAGTGAAAAGAGCGCACCGACTATCCTTCCCGTCACTAAATCATGTCCAAATTAGAAACGGAAGCTCCAAATGCCTACTATCTGCCCATGCCCAAGCCAAATCCCAGATAGGAGAATGCCCTCACATTCCACTTCCACTCTGGCATTTGGAACACAGCAGCCATGTGGATGTCCTTAAAGCCAGTGGCATGGTAGCAGTGAAAGAGAGATGTGGTGTGCTGTAGCCAGAAAAGGGAGACGCAAGTTTCCAGAGACTGAGCCCTGCGTTCTGTGTATCTCCAAGTAGCAAAGGAGTCTGACAAAAGACACCTGGTGACCCAGTAAGGTCTAAAAGTCATAGAGAGAAAGAGGCAAATGAACTGCCTTAATGGCCTTAATGACAGGGTTCTGGGGATGACTGCTGCCAACACTGTGACCCTTCTACGTGCCTCTGCCTCCACTTCACACCTCTAGTGGTCAGTAAATGCTTGCTTTGTAACATAGTGTGGCCAGAAGAGTGGAAGAGTGACATGTCTCCACACTTGAATTCTGTTTGCATCATTTCCCTTAACTCTCCAAGTAAGTGTAACCAAACCTCGATTCCATTAATAAAAATAACTCTAACACCAGTGGTCTGATGAGGACATATGATAAACAAATGACATACATATAGAATTTCAAAAGCGTTAGGGCTATAAAGTCTTGGAGTGGAAGTAGAAACAAGTACTCTTAAGTTTATTTCTATGTTGCCATGTTAATCACCATGAGCAAAAGTAACTTGGAGGGGAACAGATTTGCTTGACTTGTGAGTTATCGTCCATCATGGAGGGAAATCATGGCAGGAACTCAAGGCAGAAACTCCAGGTAGGAACTGAAGCAGTGATGATGAAGGGATACTGCTCACTAGCTTACTCCATGGCCTGCCCAGCCTGCTTTCTTATACAACTCAAGACCACCCACCCACAGGTGACACCGCCCACAATGGGATGGGCCCTTCCACAACAGTCATTAATCAAGAAAATGTCCTCCAGACATTCCCAGAGACTAACGTGATGAGGAGGGCAATTCCTCAACTGTGGTTCCCTCTTGCCAGATGGGTCATGTTTGTATCAAGTTGATGAAAACTAACCAGCACATGCTTCAAATATTTTTAATTAATAATATTTTATTACATAATGATATATTTTTTACTAATTTTAATATAATCAATAGGTCATAAATATATGTATAGTTCTCCTACAAATATAAATACATTATAGTTTATGCCACCCTCCTTTATATGTAGCAAATTTTCAATGGACACACATAGCAGATCCTTGTCCCATTTTTGTTGATCCACCCCATACTACACAGCCCCCTCCCATACATTCTGAATGTGTTTTCTTCATTTCCATCAGAAATACGAGCATTTCATTGAACTCTACAAGAACGATACTGTATCAAAGTGACAGTATTGACAAAAAAAAAAAAAATGTGGTCATCATGTAACTTAAAGAGGTTGGGCCAAGGGTGCTGTAATTCTCCTTCATTTTCAGAAGGTTAAGGCATTGCAGAAAGTTAACACTATTCTAATACAGAGCTTCAAGAATGCCGTGCACATCTTACTAAGAGTCCTAAGAAGCAAAGAGACTTGGCGATCAGGCTTTATGCAGAGAACTGGATAAAGAGAGGCATTTGCTCAGTTTCTTCAACTGAGTTTGACGTGTAGCTTCGTCAGGCTGCGCGGTGGACGATGGGAGCGACACAGGTGCAGCCAACTTTCACCAGCATCTTCTCCAGCCTGAAGGAATTAGAACAGCCCTGGGGCTCCCTCCGGAGGACCAAGATTTCTTGTTGGATGGCAACGGAGTTAATGGAGCTGTCTTCCTGTCCCTGCGCATTGATGCAGCCTGAATATCTGCATTGGGCCTCAGCAATCTCTGAGGGGAACCGGTGGGGGTCTCGGGTGATGCTGAAGAAACAAACAAAAAAAAAAAGGCAAAGCCGGATGTAAAGACCAGGAAGAAGAAGAGAGAAGGGCTCAGCAGCTCAGCAGCATTTGGTGAGGTGTTTCCCTCCAGGGGAGGGTCTGAGTCACACAGGGAACTAAAAGGTGAATACGGATATGGAGCCAGCAGAGTTATTAGGGTTTATTTATTAGGGAGAGCCTTACTTACAGAGCAACCTAGCCAGCCTGCAGTAAACTAAAGCAGTGCAAGCTGATGAAGCAGGGGAAAAGAAGGGGCTACCATTGTGTGTGCCCCTCACTCTTAAACTTCCCTCAAGTCACCCTGACCACGCCCTAGCGTGGTCCAACACACCTGTAGCCAGCCCCGAGGAGGCGTGGTTACGGTGTCCCCTACAGGGAACAACAGCACAGGCTCTAGATTCTTGGACCAAGCTCTAGCTGTTAAGTGACTTCCTATGCCCCAGATGCCTGCACCATAAAATGGGGCTCCCCACCATATCATTCTCCCAGGGGGGTTGGCGAGGATTTCGCATAGTATGAATACATGTAAAGCAATCCCATGAACGGGGTTAGGGTTTAGTTACTCTTAGGTCTACATTTTATTTGCATTGTTATTATTAGAATTTTACATACCCTTTAAGCAGAAATTGAACATGTCTAGTAGATCTCCCAGCGTACAATCCATAAAACTCACTGCTTGGAAAGGAAAACCAAAGCCCTAGAGATCTATGATTCCAAAGTCTCTCTCAGTTTCTCTCTTGATACTCACCTCTGCCAGGAGACAGGCAGCCGAGCAGGCTTGCCACAGTGCAGAAGCCCCTCAAGAAGTGAGGGGGCTCTGTAGCAGCCCCAAAGCACTACTTTGTCCCTGGAATCTGTTTTTATGATGTTTTTAAAGAGTATAAGTGCATGTTAAGTGTTCCTAGAACCTATATCATAAGACAAAATCACAGGACTCTACCCCACACAGCTGACATCTCCATCCCAAGCTGACTTTTCCTCCACACCTGTCTCTTACGCTCACTATTCAAAGAGTAACGTGTGATCTGAGTAGATCCTTAAACTGACTTCTGTTTTCAACTTGTCCTCCTGCAGTGATGATAATACAAGCTGAAAAACACTAAGACTTTCAACCACACAGGTGAGCCGGGGCAAGAAAGCTGAGTTCCTGGAAAAAAAGGAATTTCTGTGGAAAGGATGACTGTGAAGCCAGGCGAGGTGTACCATCGCTGTAACCAGTCCTCAGAAGGCTGAAGCAGAAGGATACCCATGGATCTGAGGTTACCCTGGGCTACCTACAAAGTTGCAGGGCAACGTGGGCTACAGAGTGAGATCTCCATCTCAGGAAAAGAGTGAATGTGGCTCCTGAGTCCTCGGAGGAATGAGGCTTTCTAATCAAAATAATTAAGAGCACTTTCCTCCTTTCTTTCTTTTTCTTCTCTTTTCTTTTTCCTTTGGTTTTGTTTTTTTTTTTTTTTTTTTTTTTTTTTTTTTTTTTTCTTTTTTTTCAAGTCAGGATCTCACTATATAGTTCTGGCTGTCCTGGAACTCATTAGATCAAACTGGCCTTGAACTCAGAGATCTGCCTCTGCCTCCTGAGTGCTGGGCTTAAAGCCATGCACCATCATATCTGGTTTAGCACACTGAGCATCCATCTTCCCTGACTTACTTGTAATCCCATGGGGAGCTGGAGCGGTTTTGGAAGTCATGTGAGACAAAAACGCCCTGGTTTTGACTGAAGATTCGAATGTCAACTTTCACACTGTTATCCTCCAGAGGAGGGCAATTCCCGGCCTTCTGAGGGACAAGAGCCCCTGCTTTGGGGTTCTTCCGAGCTGCTACCTCCCTGAGAATGGCAAGCCCCAACATCAGCAGCAGCAGGGACTTGAGCTGGAAAATAGAGAAGATTGCCAAGGGTTAGAGGCCTGGTGGTGAGGAAGCTGAACTCTAACTCTGCATGTGGGGTCTCTGTGGGATCAAGGTTTCCTTCTTTCTATAGTATAGGTAATCACTGGCAATCAGAACAGTCATGTCTAATGTTAGCAAGGTGCAAACCAGAAAGACTGGTAATTAAAACCCTCTTGAATTGATCTCCAGACTCATATTCCACAAAGCCTTCCTCCAGGGCGTCTCTCCAAATCCCACCCTACCGTCAAGGCCCCCATTCATACAGTTCAAACAGAAGTATATTTATCAACATTCAATAATAAAGATTTCATCATTATCACTCAAGAAGCACCGTTTTATGTTCTCTAGAATGGTATTATCTGTGTTCATATCAGACTTAAACCTGCCCGTAAAAAAACTTTCTGAATGAATGAAAGAACGGACAACTGAATGAATGAGCAGGGTGACACAGCTAAATTAAACAGTATAGTTGAGCTCAGCTCGTTGAGTAAAAGATTATGCAAAAGCAACCACAGCAAACCTCCAATTATCGAAGCTAATTGAAAGAAGCAGGGGTGCTAATGGCACACAACAGCAGAGTATAGAAGCCATTTCTTTAAGCTCTGGCATGTGTATTTTCAATACCAACATTGAAATACCAGTTTGTCAGCTGTTACAAGAACACACAAAGAAAGCACTAAATGAAGACCTCCCTACAAGAGGAGCTAAGAACTCAACAGCTTCCCGTTGTTGTGGATATCCTTTGCCCACACTGTCATCCCTGCTTGCCCCTCACTGGGGATGGACAGAAGAGCTGAAGCTGAGCTTTTGATTTCTGGACTCTGTGTTGTTCAGGTTCATACTGTGTAGGTGGGGAAAGTGACTGTGTGTGTTAGTTAAAAAGACATGCCTGTTATTTTACTCAACCTGGAGACAAGAAATGCCCAGAACAAACAGAAAGGTCATGGAACCTGCTATAGCAAGATCACTGGTAATATCAAGATGCAGGGTGAGGCAGATTTACCTACAGATAATCAGCAGTTGTATGTTTTCACCTCTACAATCATCCTTTTGCTCACTAACTAGTCCTTAGGGCCAGTGTTGTAGTTTGGGGCATTATCTCTAGAGTCAACTGTCAATTCTAGGACTCACACCACAGTGACTTGGTTTCCTACACTCACATAAATCCCAAAGAGCCCTGTAAGACAGCAGTAAGGATCTGAGACAGGTGACCATTGTTGGCATTGTCACACTCACTGTGTGTGAGACGAACATGGGAGGTAGTCTTCAGAAGTGCTTGGAAGTTTAGAAAACACCTACCAACTGCTTAGTTAGGTTTCTTCAGTAAAGTTCTCCTTCCAGTCTTCTTTCCTCTTGTGTATCATGTTCATTGTCTCACTCCTAATTTTCATTGTCAAGACTGAAAGTCACTATAGCTCGGGTTATGTGATTCATGACATGTATTGAACTGGTTTGAATGAGAGGGCCCTCCACAGGCCCTCCACAGGACATGTGGTCCTGTGCGAGCGAGCATGTGTGTCACTGGGGTGGGCTTTGATTTTTCTCAAAAGTCTTACATCATCCCCAGTTAGCCCTTCCTGCCTCACGGTTATGTCTCAAGATGTGTGCTCTCAGCTACCGATTCAACACCAGGCCTACTTGCCTGCAGCCTTGATGATCATGGAGCTAACCCTCAGACTGTAAGCCCCAAATTAAACAACTTCTTTTTTATATGTATTATTGTTTTCATTAACATTTAAATATTTTTGGAGTATTTTAGAAAACAGTTTTACACCTTTTTAAACACTAGATTCTACCCACTACCTCATGAAGGAGACAGAGCTCATCTTAATTATCTAACCATCGAGGTGAAGAACTTAGTCTGAGGGGCAATAAACAACTTGGCAGCGTTCCCCAGCCTCTCAATGCCAGTCTACAGGCTCCACCTTCTATGACAATGCTTGGTCACAGCCACTGAAGGTCATTACTACCATTATCCACATCAGTCTCAGTTGTGTGTCATTACAGGAGCTAAGGACTCTAAATATCCTGTCCACTGTGTCTGAAAGGCAGAGGTATTGAAAGCCACACGGCCTTTATCAGAAAATCATATAATAGCAGCAAGTCACTGCTTGCTTCTTGACAGTGTCATTTTTTAGTGGTTTTGAGCTCTTATAAGGCTGGTGCTGAGTCAAAGAATGATACGACCAATACTTCCCAGGGAAGCTGAGAGTGTTTTGCAGGCTTGAATTCATGTATGCCACCTTTAAAGCAGATTAGTAGATACAGTTCTCATCCTATAGGAGAAACAGGCAGGAGAACACTGAAGCTGGAGGCAGACAGGCATGGGATGCGAGCCTTTTCAGCTTAGCTTTGGGCATTACTCTGGTGTGAGCCAGCTGAGAGAACGTCTGCGCACTTGCCACTATACTACCCTATAACCTGGTCAGTTCTAGGCTCCATCCAAATTTACCTCAGTTACCAGAGGGAGTCCTCTCTTCTTGCCCTTCCTAACTCAATTCTATTTCCATGCTACTTTCACTTCCATGATTCTTGCTGACAATCCAAAGAAACAGAAATGGTTTGGAGCATTAAACTACTATCTTGTCTCTCAATCATCCACAGAGGAGCATACTATTATTGCTGGAGCCAGAAAACCTAAATGCTGGTCTCAGTTCTGCATTACGGGATTAAGTAACAGCAAACAACAAACAGATGGCCAAGCTCCTTTTCTCTGTGTAACGGGGAAAATATTCATTATCTACTTCTGTGGGTTGATGAGGGTCTCAGAGGTAATGATAATAACATGGAGCCAGGATTGGTGGCACACTCCTGTAGTTCCAGCACTCCAGAGAGTGAGGAAGAAAGGTGACCTACCAGTTCCAGACCAGTCCCAGTTACATAGCAAACTCAAGATTAGCCTGGGCCACACAGGAAGATCTTGTCACAAAAAGCAAAACTAAATAGCAAAGACAATAATATTAAGGATTAACATTTACATGCTTTTTCTACCTTTTTCTCTTATAGCAAATTAGAGTACCCAAAGTAACTAAAAACTAAGCATCCATGATCTACCTCACAAACGTAGATTCATCCCAATATATCAATTAATCCCTTCCCCAAAACACTGTAAGGGAGATGCTATTATTATGCTGTTGCACAGCTGAGAAAATTAAATTCACGAAGGGTAATGACAAATGCCCAATCCTACATTTGGCAGGTAGCAGAGCCAAAACGTGTAACTTCTAAGCCCTATGCCCCTAAATACTGTACCTTGGTGGCTTGTTGTAATCTCTAAAATAACATACTAATAATCACCATTGTCAGAAGTCGTGAGCCCTTTATAAAGCTGCAAGGATTATACAAGGAAAATCAGAGGACAATCAGAACCAATAACAGTGTGTGGTTTCCTAAGCCTGGTCCATGTGCCTCTATATCAAACCCTTCCCAGGTTTCTCTGATTAACGTCAGACATGATTCTAGTTTCAAGCAGTGAGGAGTAGAATTCTATCACATTAACATCCCACTAGCTTTGAGAAGTAAGACCATACAACTTAATTAATTAATTAATTAATTAATTAATTAATTAATTAATCAGGTGTCAAAGACACGGAAAGCTTCTCCAGGAACTGTCCAAAAGTTTAGCTGGGTGGTTTGGCTTCCTCCCTCAAAGCACTACTGCAGTCTTGGAAGAACCAAACCTGGGATTCCCTGCTTCCTCCCTTTGGATATATGTTATAAATTAATACCCGATGTATATTAGATATGATTATATGTGATATCATATAGCTATTCCTTCCTTGGAATTTATACACACACACACACACACACACATATATACACATATAGCCTGGCTATCACCATCAAGTATGTTTTGGGACAACCTGCATCTATAATGAGTAGCTAAGAGAGACCATGACGGTCCCTTGTGGTACCTGATATACATACTAACTCACCTGAGCAAAGTCCATCAGGTAAGAGCATTTGCTTTCCACCCCCTAGAACTTTGCTAATGTTGGTTTGCTCATTCCTTTTTCTTTTTCTCCACTGGACAAATCAAAATTTAAATTTAACTTCACTTTTTTAAGAACTAATTCACAAATAACTCCAAGAAGGTCTGAAGCTGCCGGGCATTGGTGGCGCACGCCTTTAATCCCAGCACTTGGGAGGCAGAGGCAGGTGGATTTCTGTGAGTTCAAGGCCAGCCTGGTCTCCAGAGTGAGTGTCAGGATAGGCTCCAAAGCTACACAGAAAAACCCTGTCTCGAAAAAACAGAAGAAGAAGGAGGAGGAGGAGGAGGAGAAGGAGGACGAGGAGGAGGAGGAGGAGGAGGAGGAGAGGAGGAGGAGAAGAAGAAGAAGAAGAAGAAGAAGAAGAAGAAGAAGAAGAAGAAGAAGAAGAAGAAGAAGAAGAAGAAGAAGAAGAAGAAGAAGCAAGTCTGAAGCCTTAGAAATCTCCCTTTCTTAAAGCTTAGACGCAGTTCCCCTTACCCTGGATATCAGCACCACTCACCATGGTTGTCTCGCATGGGCCCTTCATGTTTGTTCCCTGCTGGTTGCTTCTTCTTTCAAAAAACACTTTCTTCTGAGTGTGTCTCCCTGGGTATGTCAATGACAGTACCTGTCACTTTTATAGCAATCACTGTCCCTGTTTCCATTGACCTCCTTACTGTCTGCAAGTTGTGGTTGACCCAGAGTTACTGACGAATGCAGGTTTTTTTTTTTTTTTCTACTCCACTTCCTGAAGGGGAAGCAAAGGGGGACCCTAAAGGGGGATGACGGAAAATGGACCTAATCCCTTCCTTCTTCATGCCCCTCCTCTCCCATTATCTTTACTACAGAGATGAACCAAGTCACAGATTACTGTCACAACCTTTAATCCTTCCACAAATCGTCAACACGCTTGTCACGAACTGTGGGTTCTACTTTCAGGTCATGCAGGGGAATCCATGGTTGAAATGGGGTAAGTCATCCTTACCAAGGCTTAGTTTACAACACTATGAATGGGAAAATATAACGAAAGAAATGACTGATGTCTGGAAGATTCAGAAATTACATCCACAGGTAGTTTTGTGGTTTCTCTAGACTAATTATTTTAACCTTCTGACTAGACCCCCTACTGTGCTTAACAAATAACCATTCACATAATCTATGTGGCTATTATCTTGGCTCTCTTGAATTGAGGGCCATTTTTGTCAGCCACAGTGAATTAGAAGACTTTAAATGCTCTGGTGCACAGTTTATGGACTTGCAAAACAAAATTCGTTTGTCTCTGTTCAGATCCAGACAAACAGCTTCTGCCAAGCACATGCGTTCATGCTGGGGTAACACAATCATTCCCCTCTCTCAAAAACACCAGTAGCTAGCTTCTTAAAATTCTCTATTACTGGTGTCTGGAGAGATGGCTAAGAGGTTATGAGCACTGGCTGTTCTTCCAGAGGACCGGGGTTCAATTCCCAGCACCCACCTGGCAGCTCACAACAATCTATAATTCAGAGGATCTGACACCCTCATACAGACATACATGCAGACAAAACTCCAATGCACATGGAATAAAAATAAGTAAATTTAAAAAATCTATTATGATGAGGTAAAACCTCCCACACTTTGACCAGTTATGAGTCTCTGTGTCAATTATCATATACTACAAAATAAAGCTTCCTCAAATGCAGGGAGTAGAGAGGGATTTGATCAAAACTACATATTTGGGCATAAAATACTACAACCAATTTTTTTAAGACCAGGTAAATGTACACATTTTCCTTTCAGAGTGTGGTCTAGAGTTCAAAGCTGTTGTCCTCTGTTGTCAACATGTTTGACAAATCATGTTTGAAATTTCCTTTCACTGAAGAGCATTCAGAACTGATCACAGTTCTGTCTTGGCAGGCCTTCCAACCACATGGCTCCTCTCTCTGTCTGTGGAAGCTTCTGTGTCCTTCTCTGCAGCTGTCAGAAGTTCACCTCCTACCAGAAGACTCTCCAAGCATCCTCAAAGGCATTGTGCTCTCTCTTCACTCTTGGTAAGCTCAAATTCTATCTAACTTTTGCCTGCTTCTGTTCAGGATGGTTCTCTAGGTTCATAATAAATATGGGGTATCTTTACTTTAGCACCTCCCAAAAGCGCACACCCTCAAATGTGCAATCTACATCACACAGTATATTTTTTTGTGCACACATGGCTTCAATACAAGTGTTTTAGTGAGACTGAAATCCCCATGCTTATCTCACAGAGAATTTTAAGGCCTCATCATGTAAGACAGCTCATGAACATAGGGTGAAACTGGTTTCATGAAGGCTAGAAGCATGCTTTTTAGATTTCAACTTTGCTTGTATCCCTCCTGCTTCCAAACCAATATATGAGTGAGGCTACTTCTGCATCTGCATGGTCTGTCAAAGGATTCTGTGTTGATGGCTAATTGTTCACTGTAACAGGGTTCAGAAGTAGGAGCTCAGGAAGCAGATTTGGCAACTTTTTATTTGACTGCTATTTATCAATAAAATAAAGCATTATAGACTTATAGCAATTTTCTAGGTTTACTTATTAGCTGTATTGTAAATTATTTATTACTCTGATCATTGGATATTTTATACACACACAGAAAAATTTTTTGGCTAGAACAAAAAATAATACATTTCATTATGACATTCTTTTGTTTGTTTGGGTTTTTTCAAGACTGGGGTTCTCTGTGAAGCTCTAGCTGTCCTGGAACTCTTGTAGATCAAGCTGGCCTTGAACTCAGAGATCTGCTGGAATTAAAGGTGTATGCCATCATTGCCTGCCTTCATTATGACATCCTTATGGATGAATTAAATCTATAACCTAATGGACTATGAGAAAAATGGCAAAAATTCTGATAGATAGGGACTAATAAGAGGAAGTGGATCACTGGAAGAATAGATTTGAGGAATATATTTTATTCCAAGTCCTTCCTCCTCTCCTTCTGTCCCTCTCTCCATTCATCCCTCTTTCCTTTGGAGACAGCATGAAGTGAACAGCTTTCCCCTATCGTGCACTCAAGAAAACCACACAACATTCTTGCCTCATCTTGACCAAGAAGCATAATGTCACATGATCATACACTAACACCTCTGAAACCATGAGCCAAAATAAGTCTCTATGCATTTAGGCTGATTGCTAGGTGTGTTGCCAGGGCAACAGAAGGTCTGTTACCATGCCCACTTTCCTCATTAGTCTCTTCCCTCATGACTATGCTTCAGTGTAGAAGAGTATAATAGCCACTCCGAAAAGAAGAGCTAAAAACACCAGACTCAGTATGGGAGCATTTGCTGGATTATGGCAGAGGAAGAGTAAAATGGTACCTTTCAGGCAAAGGAAGCAGAGCTGACTTTCACATCTGTGGCCAAGATGCTATCAGTTGCATAGGGAAAACAACTTATCAGGATGCCAAACTGATAACTGGACCAACAGGTCTAGATCATTAACCTAGCCTGTATTTATTCAGCATATTCTCCCATGGATGCCAGGTGTTTCTACTATGGACACAGTAATGAATATATGGCAAGCCAACTCTGGTGAGTGTACTTCTCTGACCCGGTGTCATTGCCAGCTTTGAGAGTTTCAGAAATGCCCTAGGGCTGTTATTCTTCACAAAGTCCACACTCAGCTCCAGAGCCCACAGAAAGCAAGCAGTAGATAAAATAGTGGATTAGCCAGTGTTTTAGCCAACATGCCCGACTATGGGCTTGGAGCCATACTCCATGTTTTCTGTGGGATAGTGTTCCAGGTAATTGTCTATACCATTATAAATTTGTATTAAGTTCAAAATCCAAAATGCATGGTTACATAGTAAAAATTACTACACATACATTAACCAATAAACTAACAGCATGAAATTGATAGTGATCTTGATAGCATAAATAAGAACATTTAATTTTACAAACCCCACTTCAAGGGACTTTATCCTCATTCAATGAAGGTGGATCTAGTCTGCTATAGGAAGATGGTTTGGTGGCTTAGAAAACTCGCTGTGAATGCAAGAAGACCTAAATTCAAATCCTCAGAACCCACATAAAGCTGGGAACGCTTGGAACCCTGGGATAGAGGAACAAAGTAAGTTTGGTTCCGAAAGTTTGCTGACCAGGTAGCTGCAGGCTCAGGAAGAGATTTACATCAAAACAGCAAGGTACAGAATGATAGAGGAAGATTCCAAAAGCCATTCTCTGACCTCTGTGTGTGTGCGTCCAAGCACACAAGTGCACATATACTACACACACATATAGACAGAGAGAGAGAGAGAGAGAGAGAGAGAGAGAGAGAGAGAGAATGTGCCCTACAGCACAGCAGTATATCTGAAAACACAGAAATTAATGTCTGAAAGTGAGGTGCTAACATGACAAAAGCTTAAACAATTTCATTGTACTTTGGGCAGTTAAATTGCAGGTCAGATAAATGATGGTTTATGTTATCTAACACAATCCATTAAACAGCAAATTGCAATAACTTGAAAGGCAGATGTCGTATCTAATTAATTTATATCCTTAGAGGAAGAGATGAGAAAATGAATACCTTTTTTGTGTATGTGAGATGTTCTGAATTGACAAAGTTACACAACAAAGAAATTGTGTTCAGGTCAGGCCTGAAAGGTTTGCAAACAAAACAGAGAATTGAGTCCAGAGTCCTGCAAGACTGGAAAGAAACATCTGCTTCTACCCAACGAGAGTAAAGGACAACCACCAAAAGACTTCTGGGAGAAATGCACAGACATGTCTTTCAGCCAAACTTCCCAAGGATGAAAATCAGAATGAAGCATGAAATAATCAGATGCAGGGACTCAGAATAAAATGTGTATGAATGCCATTCAGGCAATCTTCCATTAAGTCAAACAAGGAAAAGAGCGTTGCAGGAATGCAGAAAGAAACATGGGTGTTCTGAGAACAGTGCTTGGAAGGAAAGTTCAGACTTACATGAGAAATGTGCTCAGCTTTGAGCGCACTCTCAAAGTTACCCAGGAGCTTATCCTGGTACCTTAGCCATCAAAGGGTGGGTGTCAAAGTCCTAGCAATGGAGCTTCACCAACCAGGAACCATGGAGTAAAACTCAAGTGAGTTCCTTCCAAACCCAGAACCAAACTCCAATCATGCTGTAATCTGTATGTCAAGCATAAGAGGTGCCCGTGACCCAGCCAGGTCAAAGCTACAAACCCATATAAATACCTGCTCAGTTCCCATTCTTTTTCTTTCCAAATAGAAATATTTATATTGTTTTCCTGCTTCTGTTCTATCTGTTCAGGTAGTGACCTATAGTGTATCAGCCAGACTTACAGACATGATGTAATAAGCCCTAGATTTGCACTGCATTCACTGATCTGGTGGTTGATACCTGGGGGTGCTTTTCCTTAGGGAAGAAGCGAAACACACTGTGAGAATTGAGAACAAAGTATTTGGTGGAAAGAGAGGTAGATACTGGAAGGCACTAATACATTCATCAAAAAGCTGTTCTCTGCTTCCAGGAACATAGTGTAGACTTTTTTTTCCCCCTCTTTACTCTTTGTCTTGCTCTGGCCCAAGAAATGTGTGTGAGTCACTTCCAGGCAGAAGAATGTAAAACCCATGTGTCACTCACCATGACTTTCTTCTTCTGCCTCAGGGATTATGGAACTGTGGGGGGGAAATGATAGCATGGTGAGAAGGCGGACTCTCCACCAGTCTGCATCTCTGAGCTAGCTCAGCGAGCCGTCTCCCGGCTGACCCACATTGGGCATGGCAGTAGGGCATCTGCTCTTGCAAACCACTGGGATCAGGGCATTATTGATTTGCCACATATCTTAATACAAGCAGACTGGGGGAAATATTAAAGGATTTTGCTGTCTTTTCTGTTTACTTTTGCTTTTTTATCTGAACTCTGATTTCTCATAAGTGATTTTAATCATATACAACATTTAAAGGGTATTATAAATTAGAATTAAATTCAAACTTTAAAGTGAGTTTTTTTTCTGACTACTACTTTTACAAACAAAAGTTCTTAGTATATGATTTATTTTAATCCTGTATTTATCCCCAAGTGGAATTAGATATGTATGTGGAAGTCAGGCTCGGGTTGTCAGAGTACCAGGCTAGAATGACATCAAAATACCCTGGATTTTATTCTCTAACTCCATGCTTCTTGCAGCTGACTGCTCCCTCAAGCAAAAGACTCTTCTTTCCCTGAGGTTGTCTGAGCTAATTAAGTAGCTTGTCTTTTTAGTCCCTTGCACAAAGAGTCCAAGCTTCATTTCTTCTAGTCACCCTAGCTCTGGGTCTCCTACTGAAGAGCACACATGTGGTACTGTGACAGCATGTGCTGCTGAGCGCCTGTAGACCCCACCAAGCCCACATAATCCTTTCTCCCCCAGTTTAGTGCAGTACAATAATTCCAGTTTAAGGGTACTTCGCTAATTTTTCTTAAAATGAGCCCCATCGTGGTTTTTTTGTTTGTTTGTTTGTTTTTTCAGAATCAATACAAGGTCATAATCCATAGTGGCTAACTAACCTTTCTGTCTCTATCTCTGTTTTTGTCTGTCTGTCTCTCTACCTCTCTGTCTCCCTCTCTCTGCATTTCTGTCTCTCTGTGTATCTATCTACCTATCTGTCTATATCTATCTATCCATCTTATTTGTTTGTAGAACAAGGTCTCTCTGTCACTTTGAACTCAGACCAGGCTGACCTCACACTCAGAGATCTGCCTGTCTCTGTGTGTGCCACCATGCCCAGCCTTTCCTTTTTTTTTTTTTTTAACACAATGCTTATTTGTCAAATGAAGCTGTGGATGAGTCTCCATATGCTGAGGTTTATAAAACTGAGAATTACTTGGGTGTGAGTTAAGAGAATGAAACCTCCTTTCCCTTCTGCCTTTATGGCTCTGGTTTCCTCTTCCCACTTTTCTTCTTTACTCCCTGTCTCCTTCTTTCCGAAAAAGGGTAGGTGGGCCGGGGATGTAGTTCAGTTGGTAGAGGGTTAGTCTGGCATACACAAAGCCCTGGAGTAACCCTAGCTCAGCAATACATAGGGAGCGGTGGTTCACCCTTGCAAGCCCAGCACTGACAAGGGAAGACAAAAAGATCAAAAGTTTTAGGTCACCCTAGGCTGCATAGGGAGCTAGAGACCCTGTCAGAGACCAAGTCAGGAGTGAAAAAGAGGGTGGGGGAGAGAGAAGAAAAAAGGAAGGTGGGGGGAGGGAAGGAAAAGAGAGGGAGAAAGAGAGAAGGGACAGAGGGAGGAGGAAGGGAGGAGCTGATGGAAGGGAGGAGACAAAAGCTTTTGGAGAAAAATAAGTAAGAAAAGAAGCAACAGAGTTTGGGCAGAATACAGAGTGAGAACCCTGGGTAAAAGAGGCTTTAAATCCCTACAGAAAGGTCTAGTTCGAACGAGGGCTCTCTCAGATCTGAAGTGCTTCTATGGATCTGTGAAGACATTTACATTACACTTCTGTTTCCCTGTCAGTGAGCAATTTATTAAGCATCCACTCTGGACAGGGGAAGAAGAAGAAAAATAAATAAATAAATAAATAAATATATAAATAAATAAATAAATAACACTATCTACAAAAGCAAGAAAGCACTGGAGAGATGGCTCAGTGGCTAAGAGAGCTGACTGCTTTTGCAGAGGACCCGGATTCAAGTCCCAGCACCACATGCTGACTCAAAGCCATCCACAGCTTCAGTTCCAAGGGATATGATACCCAATTGTGGCACGAGGCACACACGAGTGCACATACCCATACATTTGCAGGTAAAACACTCCTGCATATAAAATAAAATGAATAAGTCATTTAAAAGGTTGTGTGCCACCATGTTCAGCATTTATAAATAAACAAACAAACAAATAAATGTCAAGAAAGCCACCATGCTGGTGCTCTGTCACTGACTGCACCAAATCAAGCTTGGCTTTAATAGAAAGGTTGATAAACTTGGGATGTGATAAGGAGGACCGGCTGATATTATGCTGGAGGAATATAGGTGTCTTCTACATCTAGGGTGCCCTGTACTTTGCGGTAGATCAGACAGCATTGCTGCTGTAGAGAGAATTTACCTGGGGCCCTTTAGGGACTTCAAAGACAGAGCCTCTTCCGGGATAGATGCACAGCATAGAGCCATTATGCATAAAAATACCAGGACTTGGAGTTAACCCTGGAAGGAATGAGATGTTGGCTGTCACACTGCTAGTGGCTGAACTGACAAGGGAGCTCTCCCGGAGAAAGTTTTGGATTCAAACCGTTCCCAAATCTACATTGTGTCTGCATTGCTTTCAGGTTTCTACACATAGAAACACAATACAGTCTTATGATGTCTATGCAGAGCAAAGCGACATGCAGAAGACAAGATCTCCTCAGGGGGAGTCAGCAAGCACCAAGGTTTGCTATGAGAAGCTCAGACTGCTACCTCAAGCCTGTATCTAGAAGGATCTCACTACCCAACGTTAGGTCTCAGAACCATCTAACTTAGTAGCCCTGGTGAACTTATTTAAAAGTGGAGACTCCATTTCTTTCTCTCTCTCTTTTTTTTTTTCTCTGTGTAGTCCTGACTGTCCTGGAACTCGATTTATAGACCTCGAAATCACAGACATCCACCTGCCTCTGCCTCTTTCATGCTGGGATTAAAGGTGTGCCTCGCCACCTCTAGCAGAGACCTCATTTTCATCAGCTACCTGAGTACCCACATCACCTAGGAAGTCTGAGGTGCCCCAAACTAAAGAAAATTAGAGAAACTGCTTCGTGTCCCATAAAATTACTCCGGGATGTGGTGTGGTTTTGAACACTGGCAAACCCAGCACTTGTAAATTGAGGCCAGAGGACCATGACTGTGCTAGCCTGGACTGCATAATGAAAACAAAACACACAACACACAAAACAATGCAGTAGGTTCACAGAAGTGTGGCATCTTTTGAAGCTGGGAAACTACAACCAAACGTCCTTGTAAGTCTGTTGGGTAAGAAAAATCTTAAATTCCCATACTTTATGGCTGAGAAGCACTCTGAGTGGCTCTTTGGTGAGTGTGGGGTGAATCCAATGGGAAGGTGAGGCTGTTTCTGCGACCCCGGGCTGTGTGTGGTCTACCCTGGCAGCTACAGTCTGCAGCCCTGCTCTGCAGATTCCGTGCAGACTTTCACTTGCTCAGCTACAGGCAGACATCCTGCTCTGAGCTGGATGGAATTAGTCAGCACACTGCCCAAGCACAGGGCCTGGGGAAAGCCCAGCTCTCTGTCTGCCAATTTAAAGTCGAACATCCGCGAAAGGTTCCTGCCTTCCTCCCACCAGATCGCTCCTCAGCTCGTTTCCACCAGTGTTATGAAGGAACCAGGAATCAACGATTTTTGTCCCTGTACTTTCCCCCAATCATCATATTGACAAGAAACAAAGTTTCAGGATGGTAAATCGGGGTGCAGAAAATTGATCTGTCACCCCATTCTGACCTCTAAATCACTGATTTCTCACGTATTGGCTCAAAATCTCAGGTACCTGTCAAATTCTCAAAACACAAGCAAACTCAATTTTGAGTTTTGCGTTTTTGTGTCCTCGTGCTCTCCAAGCAGTTCTTTCCTTAGTGATCACTCCCGTTCTCGAAGCTCCATTCACATCCAGCTCCTCCTCCTCCAAACCATCGTGTTTTCCTTCTTCAAACTCTATTTCTCACGCCAGTCCATTTCGCAATTAACTAAAACAACCGGAAGTGACTTGAACAGCTATTTGAATGGGCTTTGGGTCGCTCAGGGTCTCCAGTGTGCATGGGGATCACTTTGGATCCCGCCTTTTAGACATCCACCACACCTCCACTCCTAACAAGCATCCCGCCCGTGGCTGGTGCTCACAAATACTCACTTGACTGCATTTTCTTTTTCTTTTTTTTTTCTTTTTTTTTTTTTTTGGTTTTTTGAGACAGGGTTTCTCTGTGCAGCTTTGGAGCCTATCCTGGCACTCGCTCTGGAGACCAGGCTGGCCTCGAGCTCACAGAGATCCGCCTGCCTCTGCCTCCCGAGTGCTGGGATTATAGGTGAGCGCCACCAACGCCCGGCTTTGACCGCACTTTCTGTCAGTGCTATTTTATTTCTCCTTCACCTAGTTTCAGTTATTGAAATGGGGCATTTTGGAGTTGAGAAGGCTTGAAGACACAGACTATTGCACTGTGTAACCCTGACACTATCCTGAATCTTGATGAGTAGACCAGGCTGGCTTGAAATTCATAGGTCTGATGCCTCCCAAGTACTGGGATTTAAAATGAATGGCACGGAAGCTGGCTCTTCCCAAGTCTTGATGAGCATTTGGTAGTGACACTCTGGGGGAACCATGAATCAGGAAGCTTTTGAACTGAACCTCCTCCAAAGCTGCTTGTACTTTAGGGTCCTTTGGAACTCCCAACCAGAAGATGAACGGGGGCCAGCGAGACGGCATAGTGGGGAAAAGAGGCTTGCTGCCAAGCCTGATAAATTGAGTTTGATCCCTGGGTCCCTCATGGTAGAAGGAAAGAAGAGAACCTTCTGACCTCCACACAAGCGCCGTGGCACGTAACACACATGCTAAGCATGTAAATGGAATAAAGGTGGCAAAATGTTAAAGAATCTTATGATTAGTTATACTCCCAGGCACACTCAGGGAAATGGGATCATATGTAGGACACAGGCATGTACAGGTATGTATGTATGTAGGGAATGCGGTCCCTGCTCTCTTCTTCAGGTCATTCTTCCTATCTTTGTGTGGGGAAAAAAAACAGCATCAACTCCAAATGCTAGGAATTCTAAATGCTGTTACTCTGCTTCCATGAAGATCCAATTAAAATGAGAATGGAAGAGAGGAGGAGGGGGAGATTTAACATGACCCCGTTTGGGGGTCACTTTCACCCTGCAAGGCCGGGACTCAGGACAGTAGTCCTGGGGTCTCCTCACTCGGGTAAAAAGGCTGTAGAAGACAAGATGAAAGGGTTTCCTGTAAGACTGCTGCTCTTCGCCGAGATGAGAACTTGAAAGGTGGGTGAAGGAGAAAGGAGGCGTGTGGAGAGGGAAAAGGGCATGCCTTCCCCTTTCAGCCTTCCAGGAAGAGAGCTGGGGCTCGTCTCATTCTGCATGTGACACTGGGAGAGATGAAAGAGAATGACAAAGAAAAACTAAGGAAATAGGCCGGTATCAATGATAAAGGTTTTATTTTAACCAAACGACCCAAGAATGTTTCTGCTGTTATCCTGTGGCACCTGGCACCACACAGAGCACCCCTAGACCTGGCATCCGAGTTGGGTGAACCCCTACTGCCTGCTCCTTTAGAGACATGGGGAGCTGCCCAGAACTTTAGAACTATTGTGTTCTAGCTCTTATGGACACTCATGGAGACTGCATGGCTTTCTTACAGCTAACCATCCTTGAAGAATTGTGTTCCCTGGCCTCTTAACTCCTCTCATCTATTTCTCTTTCTCTGTCTCTGATTCCTCCTGTCTCTGCCTAACTCCTTTCTCTCCATCCTTTTGTAGGTAGGGAGAGGGCTGTTTTGTTTGGGGGACAGGATCTCATGGAGCACTAGCTGGAGCACAGCTGCATGTATAGGCAATGCTATCACTGAACCACCTAAGTGTTAGGTTTACAGGTTTGCTAAAATTAATCTACAAAGTGATCTCTCTCTCTAAAACTCTTTCAGGGCCCTTTTCCTCCAGTTGTTGTAATTTAAGAAAAGTGCCATGAGAGAGAAAGATGCCATGCAACAGGATTCAAGCAGAGGGTATTTTTGTTGTTGTTGTTTTGTTTTGTTTTGTTTTTTAATTAGGAAAAGGGATCATAAAAAAAGGAAAGGGAAGGGGGGAGACTGGCCTCCAGAAATAGGAGCAGCAGGAGAGAGGAGAAAGGGAAGAGGGAAAGAGGAGAGGGGGAAGAAGAGAGAGAAGGATGGGAGGTGGGCAGGGCCCTTTTAAAAAGGAACATATTGAATGTGCACAGGTGGTGCTCTTAGTGGCTGCAGCTGAGGGCATATCCTGTCAGAACCCCAAGGACAGGCCAGTACAGATGCCTAAATACTAACACCAGCACTATCAGCTTTTTAACAAAAATGATTACATTCATGGTGTGGTGTGGTGTGGTGTGGTGTGGTGTGGTGTGGTGTGGTATTTAGATGACTACTCATATGTCTAGGACTGAGGTTGGAGACATCTAACCAGCTCTGCCTGCCTCTCTGAAGATTGTAAGACCCCCAGGAGCTCAGGCCCCCAGGATCTCAGCCCAGGACTGTGGCCATCCCAATCACCAATCGAAGGCGGAAACTTGATGCACACTGCACGAGGCTTTATTATAGTTGTTTAACGAGCTAACCCCATGTTAGCTCGGGTCTTTCATCCATCCACCATGGCGGATGGCTAGAAAAGATGGCTCGAAGCGGCTGCATAGAGATCTTATAGGGCAGCGTAAGGGGAGTGTCTAGGGGTACGCACAGGCTCAGGATTGGTGTGCCTCCAGGCTTGGAGGATTTGCCCTGTGTTGATTGGTCAACTGGTTGTTATGGCCCATAGGCCCTCCCAGGGTGGTTGCTATGCTCTGCGAGTCATTGCTGTGCGCTTGTCCATAAAGCACACCCAGAGCCACAAAGCATAGCACCACCAGCTAACTTCTGATTGGTTCCTTGCCACAAGGCAGGCACCTAACCTCCTAGTGACCAAGGCAAGGTCAGACAAGCATATGTTCAGCCGTTATGGCTGCCAAAATGGAGAGCTGGTCCCTTCAAGATAATGATCGGTGGATTCACTTCCTGCCTTTGAGTTGGGTCTCCTCCATGCTTTATTAGGATCCTGACTTAGCTGTTCCACATTCTTTTCTGGGCACTTTTCCTTTGAATTAGCTAGGTAATGCAGATCAGCCCAGGTGACTTCACAAAGTGCTCCTACTTGTCCTCAAAAATAAACAGTGGCAGAAGCTTGTCTTTTCTCTACTTCCTATATGTTTAAGGTAGGAAATAGTCTCAAACCACTTGCACAAATCTGAATTTCAGGTACTACAGAAAGTACAGAGTGAGAAATATAGGACATTACAAATATACTTCAAGTCTCAATCATGCCAAAAATGACCATGAAAAAGATGGAAGCAGCATGGTGTTTAGTGTCAGCAAGGGTACAGAACAAACATATCCCTCACACATACATGTGGAAACAGACACTGTAAATTCAGTAAAGCATTCATATTTTTTAACATAATTGTACTTCTAGGAATTTGTCCAAGGAGTGTATGCATCAAAACTTACAGCAAGGCTGTTCTTTACAGCAGTATTTAGAATCATGAAAAATTGACAACACCCAGCTATGCAGGCATTAGAAATATCTAGGACAGCATTTCAAACAAGTTTGGGTTGATAATTACTGGTGTTTTTCTTGTGCCACTAATGAAAAGACTCTAGGTTAGAAATCAAAATATTTGAGTTTTCCATAATTAAAACGTTTTAGCAGGCTCCCAAAAGCAAGGTTTCCAGTAACTCTAGTGCCCACCACAGCCATCATCTTCATGATATGAAATAGCACACATCAACCACTGCCACATAGGCTTTGCTGCCCTTGGGAGAAGTTCTGGAGATTGCTCAAAGTGCATCACCTTGCTACGAAAGGTCTTGCTTCATCTCTGAACACTGGTACCCAATCATCCCATCACACTAGTGCTGTGACTTGTCTACAAGATTCATCCATGGATAAAGCTCTGACCCCTCCAGCTCACAGAGCCTTCCTAACCCTTTGAAGGGAACATCACAGTATGCCAGGTGGAGTTTGTCAAATAAAAATATATTGGATATTGTAACTAATTCTTTTTTTGATGCAAACTGCAAGAGGCTTTATTGTTGTTTAACGAGCTAACCCCATGTTAGCTCAGGCAGATGGCTAGCAAAGACAGCTTGAACCGGATGCATAGAGATCTTGTAGGGCAGCGTAAGGGGAGTGTTTAGGGTACGCACAGGCTCAGGATTGGTATGCCTCCAGGCTTGGAGGGCTTGCTCTGTGTTGATTGGCCAATTGGTTGTTATGGCCCATAGGCCCTCCCAGGGTGGTTGCTATGCTCTGCGAGTCATTGCTGTGCACTTGTCCATAAAGCACACCCAGAGGCGTAAAGCATAGCGCCACCAGCTAACTTCTGATTGGCTCCTTGCCAGGAGGCAGGCATCTGATTTTCTAGTGACCAAGGCAAGGTCAGGGCAAGCACGTGTTCAGCTGTTATGGCTGCCGAAATGGGGAGCTGGTCCCTTCAATCTGACTTGGGGTCTGTCCCTGGAGCCCAGGGTGGACAGAAAGGACTGACTCCATAGAGTTGTGCTACAGTATGTATATGGAGGTCAGAAAACGAGCCCTCTCCATCAGTCCTCTCCATCCACCTTAGGGTCCAGCGACAGGTGCCTTCATCTAGTGACCCATCTTGCCAGCCTCCAAACTGGTTTTTAAGTTCACCAAAATAAATTACAGTCGGTACACTGGGGTGCTCTTTCTGTTATTATTGTCGCCTTCCTTTCCAAATAACATTTTTTAAACATAAAATTATACATAGCAATTCAAACTTTGCTTTTGCTTGGGGATACTTTATCAAGTTGATGTGGCTTTGATTTGAGAAACCCATGTGCCATAGGGCGTAGGTTGACCTTCCTACTCCAAGGTTAAACGGGTGCACTTAAAGCAGGAAGGCTTGGCTTGTTTACTACAAAAGATACCTGCTGGGACAGCTATTATGGGGAAGGGAAATCTCAGCAGAAGCTAATGTCCTCCTACAGGCTGTGGGAGAATACTCAGGACTTAATAGTAAAAATGTTCAGGAAA